GGGGAATAAAAATCTTAAATATAAGGTTCTTGATGGGTAGTGGATCATACTAGTCAAGGAAGCAAAATATTTTATAAATTGCTTGATTTTAGGACCAATCTACTTGACTTGAATTTCCAATATAAATTTTCATGTATTTAGATGCTTAAAATTTTTATTTAATTTCTCCTCTTTTCTTTCTCTTTATATTATGATAGGTTATCAATTCATATAATAATATTTTATTTGATCCTAAGACTTCCTAAAGTTATCTAGTTTTAGAAAAAGGCTTATAAATAGGACATTGATTTGCACTTTTTTATTCATAGGATAATAGTAATTTTTTCATATTCAAATTTTAAGTGAAAATGATTGATGTCTGCTCTACCATTTTTTGATAGAGTTTCCTCTTCTTTCCCAACACAATTTTCTTCTCCTTCACTTAACCTTGATCCTTGATTTCCTCAACGCAAAAATATATCCAAGATATTAAAAAATATTCCAAATATTCCCTCACATCCCTTATAACCTTCCAAAGTCTTAACTCCCCATTAACCCTAAGTACCATATCAAAAATCCCAATATAGAGATAAATTTTGATATGAGCAATCAAATTAAAAATTCCATAACTCTTTTTGATCTTAAATTCATAAAGGCACCGTTGTTAGTTCCCCATCATCCCAAACAATTGATATAGTGTTCCTCCCCATTTTTATCCAAGAAAATATTTCCTTTTGATAGCTTAAAAAATTTAGTACCAAATATAACCAAACTTTGAATAGCCATTTCACTCTACCCAAATAACCCTTCTTGTTCAATCCAAATTTGTCTAGTGGATGATGCTCAGCTTTACTATCAAATTTATTTTCTGAACTAAGAATCTGTAAGTGAGAATAGAGAGCATAGAGAGAGTAAAGAGAGCATAAAGGAGGGGAGTAAGCTAATATAATCTCCACTATATCAATAAGTAAATATAGAGAAATGTCAGAGATCTAAAGTCTCTAGCAAAAGGCAGGAAAATGTGTGAAGGTTTAAATTGATCCTCAGCACTTCTTATTTACAAGATTTTGAGGGCTACAAGAAAGGCCATACATACAAAAATAAAGATAAAGGATACACAATAAATCCTTATATTGTTATATGTTACTCTAAGGAACATGTCACCTCTTGATTATCTATAGAAAGGAAAGCCTAATAGTCAGGCAAGCTTAAAAGGGTCGATTAAGCATAGCGTGAGTCTATAGGTGAGTTCTGGGAGGAGATAGACCCATAGATGGTGACTCATTAGATCAGGTCAATGAATGACATAGGGAGCTCGAGGTCACATTATCATGAAAGACAAGCAGTGGCATTTACAGGGATGAAAAGTCCCTTAGCCTTGTAGTGATTGCCGAATGGAGTGTGGAACCCATGAGATAGGAAATTTCTTATAGCAATGTCTGACAAGATTAGATGAAGAGGACTTGGTTGAGATGAGTGGAGATTTATTTGCTTGATGAGGAACTTCTTGGTCATTTAGTGTAGGTCAAGCTCCTTGGATGATGTGTATGAGTGATGTCTATTATTCCTCTTAGGCGAGTTCCTCTCTAGCTCCAAGCGAGTCTTCTAAGGTATATGTTCCTTAGAAGGATGACTCTCATCACAGCCTCATAACTACTTATCAAAACACCTGAAAAAGGTAATCTTGCATACACACTTCCCAAAGGGATAACCAATCAAGTATTTACCTTCATATAAGGATTTTATAGGACCTCATTAGGCTAACTTAGCTCTCCCTTAGCGATGGGCACTTTCTTAATGGAATTCATTATTTTAAGGCTAGCTCATCTTTAGATTTCCAACTATATGATCTCCTTTAATAAGTTACCCATAATGATTACATAGCATGCCATTACTACATCAATTTCTCATTGATGGTGACAAATAATCTTCTCCCCAATAACATTTTGGCTATATGGTAAGGAGATATCATAGTTTTGAATTTGTTGAGAGGGGATAACTAAAAATCACATTATTTGTCATTAGGGTATCAATTATGATAAATTCATCTATAGTATTATATTGGTGGTTGCTTTTAGGAAATGCAATCAATAGTGTAATTACACCATCAATTTTCTATGTTCACCAAAAGAAATAAAAGCATAGCTAAAGAATGTGCATTAACTTAAATGATCTAAGAATATATATGTGAGTATATATAAATAAATAAATAAATTATAAAATAATAATAATAATAATAATAATAATAATAATAATAATAATAATAATAATAATAATAATGATAATGATAAATAAACACCTTATGTTAATGTGATTATTGTCGATATGGCATATTTTGGGATAAGAACCCTTAAAATGATGGATGGGTTTACCTCTCCTAAATTAATTAAGTTGCTAGAGGCTGGCCTAGTTTAAGGATTTTGCTCTTATTCTACCTAAGACTTTTGAGGCTACCTTAGTGAAGTGAATAACTTGAGTGGGTCTCAACCTATTTCTAGGCTCCATTGTTAGCCTCTTCCATAGTTCATCCATGATCAATTCTCTTACCTCTTGCCTTTAATAAGTCATTTAATTAAGCTTTAAAGGTGTTAACAATCCTTTGTGTCATGGTTACGATCATTATTAAATGTATACTACTTTATGGGATCCTTATCTTTATGTTGGTTGTTAAACATAGCCCTAATATTACATATCTTTGACTACTTCTATCATGGATATTTTAAGGAGGGTGTTTGTTAGATATTAATGGAGAGATGGAAGTGATATATCCTTCTTTACTAGTGCAAAGAATCTCTCAACTTAATGTTACCTCTAAAGGTAATAATCCTATAATTAGGGTCACTAGTGTTATGGTTGTTATTATTTATGGTTGAAGTGATAAGTGTAAATAAAGTGTTATTTTATGAGTTTTATTTTTAGTAAAAATACATTTTTTAGTTGTCTTGTGAAGGAAAAATACATAACAAGGCACAAAATTTTAAGTTCCATATAACACCGTAATGTTGGAATAAACAACACCGTAGTGCCCTTAAGGGATCATTGGAGCGCCACAACTTTGACGTTGCAGTGCTAACTTCTAGTTGGACAACACCATGGAATCAAATGTTTAGCTTTGCAACATCATATTCTTAGTCATCCAGTGCCACAGTGTCATAATCTATAATGCCTTAGTGCCAAAATTTCTCTTTTGAAACCACATTATTCAAAAATCACCAGCACCCTAGGGGAGCAGTTATAAATTCCAAGAACACAACCTTTTAGTGAAATGACATGATTGTTCACTAAATAAATAATTCAAAATAGTAGTATAATAGAGTTAATTTATTTGTTGGGCACAGTGGCACTAACCTTTCAAGCACCGCAGTGTCAGTTGCATACTTTATTTTTTCCTATAAATACACTGTGCTATGTTTGTAAAAGAGTTCAGTCACTTATATAATTTTAGTACAATTCAAAGCGCTTCTATAAATTTCCCTTAGGGTGATAACTAAGAGAACTTAGGGAAGTACTTGATACCATCATTTGAGTTTTTAGCTTGTGTTTGTAGAAGTAATTCTATAAATTAAAAGGAGTGTAGAGGAGATCCATTTAATCATTTCGATGATATTTATCTCTTGTATTTTCTTTCTATGATGCTTTTAATAAAAATGAGTTTGATTTAATTGTACTCCACATATGGCTAAATTCTCTAATTCTGGATTGATAATGGAAACATCATATATAGTACTAATGTTTTTTCTTATTCCTTAAATTATTAAAATGATATTTTTAATATTACTAGATCTCTATTTAATACATGTAGCGGCCATAAATGCATTTAAAATTAGGTGAAAAGTGGAGTCTTGATGTAGTAAAGCAGACATAACTAAAAATTTTAGATTATTATGCATTATACTTAGGCATGTGGTATGAAATGTACTAAATTCTTAAGAAGATGATATAACTATAGGAAGTCGATAGACTTCCTTTGTTCAGATAGCTTCATAGAGATTTAGGGATGCATATGCACTAAATAACATTAAATTTAAAGATATTTATAAGGAAAAATATTTTATTTTTATTCATCAATCCAAAATATTATGTTTAGTGTATTTATTATCCTTATCTAATTTTATTTAAGTTATTAAATCTCCATAACATCCATTTTTATTGATTAAGATAATTATTATAATTTTAGAAGATAGTACTAGTGTTTGCAAGTGAGCATATCTTCTTCGTAGGATCGATACTCTACTCTATCACTATATTACTTAATTCGGCATGTATACTTATATACATTGAGTGAGATTTTTATAATTTTTTATATAAAAAAACCTAAACAATTTTAGTGATTGATAGAGCCCTAAATTATTTCACTATTTTATAGGTTACTCCATAGCCCTTATCAAGTTTTGGCACAATTGTTAGGAAAGTATTTCACTCTTTGCAAAATTTTAACAGTATTATAGAATTAATTGTATAGTTAGACCTACTTATTCTTTCATGATTTGCTTTGAATCATGAATTATATATTCTATTTTTTGTTGGTTGCATACTTTATATCTATAAAATGGATCTTATGTCATTCGATCTTGAAATTGAGAAATTCCTTTCTAAAATTAAAAAAAAACAAAAAAAAAAAGTTGAAATGATTGGACTAGAGTTAGAGAATAATCATTGTAGACCTCTTTAGGATTATGAAAACCCTTTAGTAGACAGAATTCATTGGAGCATAATATACCTACAACCAAAGCTAATAATGTTTCATTAAAATAAGTAATCATTCAAATGGTTCAAAACACTCAGTTTGGGAGAACTCCTGTAGAAGATCTGAATTTACATTTAGTTACCTTCTTAGAAATTTGTGAAACATTTAAGTACAACGGTGTCAGTGATGATATATTAGACTTATATTGTTTTCCTTTTCTCTTATAGATAAGGCTAAAATGTGATTAAATTCTTTATCCCCAGGTTCAATGATTACTTGGAATGAGTAAGCTCATAAGTTTCTTGCTAAATATTTTTCACTTTAAAAAATTGCCAAACTTAGAAATGACATAACTTCTTTTACTTAGTTTGAAGGAAAATCCATTTATGAGAATTGGGAAAGATTTAAGGAAATGCTTAGAAAATGCTCTCATCATGCATTACCTGATTGGTTGGTCATTCAAACATTTTATAAAGGATTAGTAGGATCTCTTAGAGCTATAATTGATGCTACAACTGGAGAATCATTAATGTCCAAGCCATTTAAATAAGCTTATGAATTAATAGAAGAAATTATAACTAATAATTTACAGTGGTCTACAGATAGGGTAAATCCTAAAAAAGAAGCTACAATTATGAATATGGTGCTTTATAAATCTTGACTGCACAAGTTATTGTAATTTCTAAAAAAATGGATAAATTAAAGATTAAAAATAGAGCAAATGGATATGATAATTTTAAGATCGATTTTAAAAATCTTCACAGCATAACATTTTGACACGTGGTAGCACAATACTATCCCTCAAATTATGAACAACTTTATCACAAAAGTAATAAGAGAACACCCTTAGAAAATATTATTTAATAATTAGGAATCCATGTATAAAATTAATCTTATACTCCTAAAAAATTGAATATTAAATAAGGCAACTCATTGGGTTGATTAATTATAAAAATATGAAAGAAAAATATCATAATATCCAACTTAGAAGTGGGAAAAATATAGGAGATCCTTACAAAGATAAAGATTTACATAAAAAGGATGATAGTGAAGTTGAGAAAGAATAAAATAAATCTTTCACAGAATAACCTAAACTTATAAAAGAACTTGAATGAGTAATTAGGAGAGTTGAAGAGAGACTAACTCCACCTTTCCCTTAAATATTTATCGAACAAAATCTAGATAAGGAGTTCTCAAAATCATTAGAAGTGTTAAAAAATTGACTGTTAATATACCTTTGTTAGAAGCTTTAGAACAGATGCCCACATTTGCAAAATTCATGAAGGATATTTTTAACAAGAAAAGGAAGATAAGGGAATTTAAAATTGTGGCACTAACTAAAAAGTGTAGTGTTATAATTCAAAATAAACTTCCTAAAAATTTAATGGCACTAGAGTTTTATCAATTCTTTTAACTATCATAGACACATTTCGTGGTAGGGCTTTTTGTGTTTTGGGATCTAATATTAACCTTATACAGCTTTCTATTTTTAAATGACTAGATATTAGTGAGGTTCAACCTACCTCTATTACTCTTCAATTAGCTGATAGATCTTTAACTTAGCTTTGAGGAGTAATAAAAGATGTGTTGATTAAAGTTAATAAATTTATTTTTCCTATAGATTTTATTATTCAAGATATGCAAAAAGATAATAAAATATCTCTCATTTTAGGAAGACCATTTTTTAGCCACTGGAAAAGTAATGATTGATGTGTAAAAATGTGAATTGACTATGAGATTTCAAGATTGGGAAGTTAAAATTGATGTGCTTAAAATTGTAAGATTTTCTCAAGAGAAGAATAAAGATTGCTTCAGTGTGAATTTAGAAGATACGATAATAAAGAATCTTAAAGAAGAACTATTAGAAGGGGGATTATCAAAAGAGGAAAAAAATTGAAGAGAATAAAGTAATGTCAGGAGAATATGTAATAAGGAATGAAAACTTAACAAAAAAAAAATTGTATTATTGGAAACATTCTCTTTCAAAAAAATTTTAAAATCATCTATTAAGGAAGCTCCTACATTAGAGCTTAAGGCTTTACCTTGTCATCTCAAATATGTTTTTTTTTGAAATAACTCTTCTCTTCATGTAATTATTTTAGCAAATTTAGGCCCACATTAAGAAAGTGAGTTGATTAAGGTGATGAGTAAGTTTAAAAGTGTTTTTGGGTTGTGTCGGTGGAATTTTGAAAATAGTTTTTTGAAAAGTTTGGTTTTCTTTAGGAATTGAGATTGGATTCTAATTCTAAAATAAAATTGTCCCATTAGAAAAAGTATATCCCTCGAAAGGTGAAAATAGAATTTCAGAATGGGATTCAGATTTAAAATTATGAATCTCATATTGAGTATTGTGACTGGATGCTGAAGAGAACTTCGTATGGCCCCAAAGGGCCAGGGTGAGGTTCAACTAAATATCTAGCTACAACAATCAAGAAGTGTGATCGTTAAGTTCATATCCAAAGCTTTATCAAAGAAAGATATATCTCCCTAAAGGGAGAAAATACCATTCAATGATAATTCTTTGAATGTGATAATAATGATCATCTTTTAATTTTTCCCAAAGGAATCTAATATAAATTTTGGAAAATCAATTTTTTTAAAAATCAAGTGAGTGTGTGGTTCTAAATCTCTTACGAGAGCAAGCCCTCGTAGTTAATTACATCGTAGGGAGACAGAGTCCCCTACAAAAAACTCTCGATTAAAATAGTGGCAAAATTTTGTTAGATTTTCTAGGAGTGATGTCAAAAAGTGGTGAATTTTGGAAGCACATAGGTGAATGGATCAAAATTGAACAATTATTATCGAAATCAAGGGAAGAATAGTAGGGGATACTTTGAGATTCCGGAACCATCCGGAAGTGTCCCAACTTAATATAAGTGTTGGGATTTATATTTTAGGATTCAAGGAAGATTTAATTAGAGTTGAGCATTTTATTAAAAATTTGGGGTTATATTCCCAAAGGTCGAGTTCTTATAATCAAAGATCTGTCCCAGATCCTAAATCTAATTTTGGATGCTGGACCTTAGTCGTTCAAACCTAACTAATGCAGTGCAGAACTTGGACTTACCCCGACCTAGATTGGGGAGCCAGTTAACCACTTAATCAATTTAAAATATATGAATCCAGTCTTTTATGAAAGAGTGGTAGGGACGTTTTATTTAAGATTTGGAGAGATGGGGCCGACATCTAAAGATTTTTCTAATTGACCCTTTTGACTTATGTTGATTGTAAAATGTTAAGGACTAATGCAATTAAAATTTTGACACTTTTAAATATGTTTCTAATATAATGCATGCTAGTTGACAACTTCAAATCAAATATGCATGAACTTTTAAAAACATGCTTAAAAAATAATTTTTTAGAAGACTGGGCTTCCCCAGGTCCGGCACCCCATCCTCATAGGTCAGGCGGGGAAGGGTCTAAAGCAAGGAAAGAAGAAGTGCAGAAATATGCATGTGACCCCGGGGTCGATCCCCGGCTAATTACCTAGATTCGTTATCTTTCTATGTTATTTAGACTAGCTGAATTTTAAACTTTAAATTGTGAGTATAAAACTTTTTACACCCTCACGAGTCTCACGTATCGACACAATCGCCAAAAAATTAGAAAAAGTAGGTAATTCTATACGCAATCATCTCAACACATCAAATATAAATAAATAAATTAATAAATATCCATAGGCAAAGTTGCCTTGCTTATTACAAATTAGGATCTTGTAGAAAGTAAAGTGGCCGGGCACCACTGACAACAAACTGGATTCTAAACCTAGTAGAGATGCAAGTGGTTTTGAGTGGGATACTTTGTCTTCAATTCTTCAATCTTCTTCTCCTTCGGGCTCCTTTCCTTTAGGGTTCTTGAATTCTTCATAGTAGGCTACCCAAATGGATAAGAGGACACTTCCTTTGAGGGGAAGGCCACTCTTTTCTCTTTGGATAGTGAAGAAGTGATCCAAAATTGGATATCCAAATAAAAAAGGGCTACTTCTCGAAGGGGTATCCTTTTCTCTTTGAAATCCAAGCTTTGGACCTATGTATCCCAACTCAAAACTATACTTTTAGAACACTTAATACTTGCACAAATTATAATTATATAAAAATAGAAATTCTAGACTCTCTTGTAGGGTTATCCTAAGTAGTTAATAAATCAAAAATATTCCCAAGCAGTTATATATCTATAGAAAAGTAAATAAACACACTGGCTACGCTCTTTTTATTACTTGGGTGGGGGGGGAGGCTTAGTAGCTGAAACACCTGTGCAAGCATATTTATAATTAAATTTTATTGATTTGGCCCCCCTTTTTATTGCCCTACATGAGCGTGGCCACCTGCAGAAAACTATATGAACATCCAGATCACTCCTATCCTAAGGGTAATCTAGTCGCCAAACATATCAATCATCTACAGAGTGTCGTAAAAAGTAAACATACACAATAAGATAATTTCATCCACAACATGTAGTAAAATCATAAAAAATCTGGAACACAGTGGAAAAATAAACACCGGCCTAACCTAGATCTAGAGTTGGTTGTCCTAACAAACCATCTAAAGTGTGTGTAAAAGGTCGTGTGGCTAGGATAGACCCTAAGCTCAGTAGTTAATTAAAGTTATCTAAAATTTTAGATTTGTTAAGGTTTAAAGGGAGATTTAAGTTAGAGTTTAAATATTAATATATTAAAAATTTTATTTAAATATATTTTAAGGGTTAAATAATAACTACTTTTATTTCACACCGAGGCTGTGAAGTTTATTTTACTCTCCTTGGGGCTAAGTTAATAGCCTCATAGGCCTAGGTTACCTAGTAGTAATCGGCGTTGATTAAGTTAATTTAAATTGGTTAGAATTAAAAGAGTGGATTAATATAAAAAAAGAATTAATTACTAAATTTAAAAGATTGCTTGAGCATTTTTATAACCAGTATGAAAATTCTGGAGTTTTAATGAATTATCGGGTTTTAGGAAATTAATTATCTAGATATGTTAACTAAGAGGTTAAAAAATAATTTCCAAATTAGAGAGAATTTAAGAGGTTTCATATTTTTAATAAATAATAAACCTTATTATGAGTTGTTAGACTGGTGGCACACTCAATTTGGATTTTTCTATGAAAAGTTATGATTTTTAGAAGTTTAGACCCTATTTTGACCTAAGGTTGACCAAATTGTTAACTTTTTGACTTTGACTAGATTTTGAGGGATTAAATTTTTTAGAAAATACTAGGTTTTAATTAGATTCATTAACCACTGAGTTTGATTGATTTAGAATTTTTTATAATTAGTTATGAATTTTGAAAATTAAAGCAATTATTGGATTTATTTAATTGTTTCAATTAAGGGTCCATTTTAGTGATTTGAACCCAAATGAGTCCTAAACTTCTTGAAATCAACTCCAAAGATAAAAAATAATCTAAGGAGGGATCAACAAGTGTTTAAAGAATTTTTTTGGA